ATGATTGTCACGTTCTTCACGTAGTATTCTCAGTTATCTAAAACTAATTTCATGTTAAGCTTATCTAGCAATGATTGTCATGTTCTTCACGTAGTATTCTCAGTTATCTAAAACTAATTTCATGTTAAGCTTATCTAACAATGATTGTCACGTTCTTCACGTAGTGATCTCAGTTATTTAAAACTAATTTCATGTTAAGCTTATCTAACAATGATTGTCACGTTCTTCACGTAGTGATCTCAGTTATTTAAAACTAATTTCATGTTAAGCTTATATAACAATGATTGTCACGTTCTTCACGTAGTGATCTCAGTTATTTAAAACTAATTTCATGTTAAGCTTATATAACAATGATTGTCACGTTCTTCACGTAGTATTCTCTGTTATTGAAAACTAATTTCATGTTAAGCTTATCTAACAATGATTGTCACGTTCTTCACATAGTGACCTCAGTTATTTGAAACTAATTTCATGTTAAGCTTATATAACAATGATGTCACGTTCTTCACGTAGTATTCTCAGTTATTTAAAACTAATTTCATGTTAAGCTTAACGATTGTCAAATTATCACACATTTCTTTTCAAGCATTTTCGTTTTTCGAAAATACAAATATAATCTGGAAAGTCTGTTCACTTTTCTACTTCTCCAGTTATCCTTGAAAGAGTAAACAAAAATCCATCGACTTCTTACAAGAAAGTTGAATCCACTGATGAACTTAATGAACTTGTATACGTTTTGTATATTTCGAGTATATTTTGTTTCGTTATGTGAAAGAAATGTCACAAAACTCAGGGTTTAAATCTGTAATATATAGTTTCAAATGTTTGATAATTGTGTTATAACACAACAAATAAACATTTTCAAATAACACAAAAATATTGAACTTCTGTTAATCAAAACTACAATTGTTGTAGCAAGCAATATCAGAAGATTGTTACATCGCATAAACCTTAATTAAATATCACTGTTTTTAAGCGCGAAAAGTCACACAAATGGAAGTAATACAAATATGTTTACATCATCTAAATATGTATTTGAAGAGTTTGTTAAAAGGACACACATTCTTTGTGTCGAAACCTCAACAAACGACATCCTTCTGTAAACTATTCTAAAATCTGATATCAGTTACTGACAGATAAGAAACAAAACTTTGAAAGTAATATTAGAAACGTTCAGGATTTGTTTCTTATGGCAACCTGGCGCTTTTTATCCGTAAAAATCCAAAAGGCACTGCCTATTGTGAGGATATTTATTTACAAAAGCTACTTTCATTTTCTTACAATTCTTTGTTAGATGTAAGATATAACCTGTGACATTTCTGATAATTCTACAACACGTATTCGTGTCATATCTTAAACAACTCACAAAAATAAACAAACGGATCATAATCCTTTATTGCTTTAAAAAATGCATTTGTTGACGTCATAAACAAACGTGAAAACATGGCCACTGAAGATTAAAAGTTGCCACTTGTTTGTTTAAATTTTTCAGCAGATATGACGATTTAATTTTATGAAAATACTTTATCATGTTTAAACCCTTAGAAATTGTGTGATCAAATTATAGCTATCGCAATTCATCTTATATTTGTTCTTTGATAATACAGTTTTAATAAAAGTAGTGAAACTAGTACAGTTGAAGCTATGTTAATATATTATTTGACTGCTTTTCTTTGTCTGTATTTCAGCATTTCTAAATTAATTAATGTTAACCATTTTTGACGACTGGTTACTGAACGCGGTTGACATTAATTAATGAACCACAATGATCGTGCTTGTTTTTTGTTGTTTTTTTTTAGCTAGCTAATTCTGTTTTAATTATACCACTAAATAATATTGACCGTGTCCAGTAATCAGTCGCCAAAAATACGTTCTACTTTTAAGGATCTTGATTATTATATTAATTCAATGCTTATTTTTATCTTTTATGCAAAATTAGTAATATCAAATGACTAAGGATAATTTTCCCCAGGTGGCAGGTTGATTCTTGATAATAATTTTCAGGCTGCCGTACAATACATTCCCGTGTTTTATCATAACGTATGGCCCCCCTGTGGCACAGCGGTATGTCTGCGGACTTACAACGCTAGAATTCGGGTTTCGATACCCGTGGTGGGCAGAGCACAGATAGCCCATTGTATAGCTTTGTGCTTGATTACAAACAAACAATCATAACATATGTATTTTAGGAACTTCTCCATCCGAATTCTATAAATGGTACGTTTTCTGGGGGTCATGCCCCCTTATTCGCATAGAAATACTATTTTCAGGTCTTGCATACACTTTAGCCCGGCCCCTCCCAGGCAATCTTTGTTTCCTCCGCCTTTACCTTTTTTTATTTTGAAGGTGAAACTACAAATTGTAATTGGTGAATCAGTAAGATTTTTTTTATGCATACAAGTGTAACTGAAGATCTTCAAGGTTAACTGACCAAACCAACCCCCTTTACCTTTTTTATTTTCAAGGTGAAGCTACAAAGTGTAATTGGTGAATCAGTAAGATTTTGTTTATGCATACACGTGTAACTGAAGATCTTCAAGGTTAACTGGCCAAACCAACCCCTTTACCTCCCATCATTTTTTCATTTTCTAAAACGACTCTGTTTTTTTTCAACCTTCAATTTCAAAGCAATTTTCTCAGACGTTAAAACAAATTATAACATATGCGGATTGACAGTAAGAAGAAAAAAAACATGTTTTCAAGGTCATAGCCTCCTATTTTACAAACGACCACACCTTTGTAGATGTCATAATAACCGTTTTTTACAAACTTAACTCATTCTAAAGATGAAAACCACTCAACTTTCCTTTTCCGTTATGTATTCTATATTTTCAATGTTTGTACCAGAAGCAACAGTGAACTTAAAATCAAATAATAGTTACTAAATTCTTTTTGTTTTACTTGTTTTTATTTAATTGAAATCACTGCGTTACAGTTCGTATTCTATTTTCTCAGAAAATTGCTTTAATATTTTTATAAACTTATTATAAATAGAATGAAAGAATAGCGCCTTGTAACTTAATATTCCCTGTGTGATATTTTGGATCTCTTTATATTTACCAAAAACTATGCAAACGTATAAAAAATGATATAAAATAAAAGTCAATCAACGTAAGAATTACACACTGATAAAAAATATAATGATTGATTAATACGATACAAATCGGTCACGATTATATCTTAAGTGAATGACACCGAAATAACCCTAGTAAAGCTACACTAAACTAATGTAAAGACTATAAATATACATGCAAGTCTGTAATCGTATCAAAAATCTAAAACAAAATCGCAAAAACTGTTACTTACTATCTTATATTACTTTAACGTACCTAAAGTACTACCTTTCATATGGTTAGTAAAATCTCTTAAGTCTTATTGTGTTCACTCTGTAGTAAAACATTCAGGATGCTACTCTGTACATTACTTTTTGTTTTATTAATCATAATAGCACACGAGAAGTAACTGTATAGCCAGGCATTGTAGTTGCGTATGAATATTGAGTGAGTTCCTCAGTGCCGTCTTGTGTTTATCATACAATTAAATACACTTCGACTTTCACGACGTTATGCAATTCCTAATATTATGAACTATTTATTTTCATAAAAAAATTTGCGCCAAAAAAACCAAAAAAACCCCCAAAACACCTTTAAAAGATATTAAATAGATTATTAAACACACTTCTTACCATAAATGGAATAGAACCTCCACATCTAGATAGTCCATTACAACTACATAGTACCACAGTTTATATTAGATATATTTATATGCACAGGTAATAAAAAATACGACACAAGCTACAAAATAACTATCTGCGCTCTATCCACCGCGAGGAACCTAACTCTGTATTTAAGAGTTGTGAGCCCGTAAATTTACCGCTGACCCACTGAGAGACATTATTGAAGATGAAACAATACAATGATGTATTTATACTCATATTTAATTTTCTAGATAATCCGTAACGCTTAAAAACAATTAATATTATAGATGTGCAAAAGAAAAGTGATTCTAGACGAAAAAATAAAAAAACAGGCAAGTTTCTTAGAGATCGAGATTTTGTAAAGTCGTTTTGAAAACTTGTTTTAAATCTCTTACTAAACTTAAAATTATATTCATACACGGGGTTAGTTGAGGCTTACAACGTACTGTATACTGACAAAGCTTTAAAGTATATGAATTCATGTATCTCAGACATAAACCTCAATGTAGTATAATAAAATATTAATCGATAAATAACGGTTGTAGTTGATAATTACGAAATATCTTCAGATTTCGGTTTTAAAATGTTAAGGCCGCTAATTTTCTGTTTTTAGGTTTATGTTGTTGCATTTTCAAATGTATACAGAAGTAGCAGAACGTCGTTTCAAGGCGTTAGAGCGTTGTGTGAAACAAAACAAGAAACTGGTTTCTTTATTATTAATTCTTGCAACTCACACTTTCTAGATACAACGTGGATGAGCTCATGTACTATTTTAATTGTTTTAGCCACAGCGTTGTTTGTTGTATATAGTAACCATTCATGAGCAAGAAAACTATACGTTAATACGCTATACATATAAAGTTTTAGATTTTTACAAATATTTTAATAATTTATATTCCCGCATAAAAAAAGGATTATGCCGGATTTCAAAGATAACCAATCTCTTATGAGCGTATTACATTACGTCACAAAGCATCTTCTCACGCACTAATCTACCAGTGCTTTTTTCTCCAAACCCTGAGGATAGAATACGGATGATGTACAGAATAGAAAATAGATTTTCAAATAGTTTGTTACATTACGTAACCTTGACATTAACCTTATAATAGAATGGAGCTCTTGCAGATGAGCTGATGGACTGGTTGTCACTTTTAGACATTGTTGCTAAGAGACTCGCTATTGGATTATTAAAAGTTATAAGATATCCATAGGTGACCAATCACTGTGAAAGTCTTCTTAATGCTTATTTTTTAAGAGGATATTTTTTTCTGATTAAAACAGTATAAAAGCAATGCTGTGAGCTGTATTCTTCACCAGTTGTAAAACAGCTAGTCATCGCCATTAAGTTTTAGTAGTGTCAAGTTGAAATTTCCATCGACATCATGCAGAAACTGGTAAGTTAATAGTTAATCTTATCTTCAAAATGTTTTTATTATGTTAAAGCATACATAAATCTCTACAGAGCTATACTATCCGTGTTTATACTTCTAATGCTTAACTTGATATTTATTGAAGTAAATATTTAAATTCTAAATACATTTAAAATCAGTTGAGTACTTATTCAAGGGAGGTCGGATATAGCTTGGTAGTTATAAAATCAGTTGAGTACTTGTAAAGGGGGGCTGGATATAGCTTGGTGGTTATAAAATCAGTTGAGTACTTATTCAAGAGGGGCCGGATATAGCTTGGTGGTTATAAAATCAGTTGAGTACTTATTCAAGGGAGGCCGGATATAGCTTGGGTTTTAATGCGCTTCACTGCTGGTCGCGGGTTCGAATCCCATCATCAAATATGCTCGCCCTTTGTTCAAGAGATGTAGACGGATGATGCTACCGAGCTAATTTTCTCTCTAGTCAATCACTTTTAAACTATGGACGGCTACCCCAGAATGCCCTCGAGGAACTTTGCGTCAAACTCAAGAAACAAACTTATTCAAGAATAGTTTGGGCTTTTTTTTAAAAAGTCCCAATTCTGGAGCCATCAAACTCTAATCAGAGAAAGGGAAAGTTAGAAACTGTTTCTAGTTTTCATTGAAATTCTTCCGTACAATAAAAATTTCTAAGTGAAAAATAACAAAGCGTTTATTGTTATTTTATTTTATTTGATCTAAGAAGTATTCTAAAAAGTGCTCGAGATATTTAGCTTTAATGGAAATTTAACAAAATAAATGGAAAATCAAACAGTAAACCCACAATATTGTTTCATTACCGAAGAAACAGCATTTAAAGTGGCATGATAGTTATTTATTACAAACACGTTACAGTTAATGGGATGAAGCTTTGAAAATCATTTAATGTGTAAAGGAATATGGGTTATTTTAACAGTTTAATATCAATTTGAAATGCACGTGTTGTCATTCACAACAACTTTTTTTCCATATTTTCAGTTTGTTGTAGCCCTGTTTGCTGCTGCCCTTTGCCTCGCCTTTGCTGATAAAGAAAAGGAAAAGACGTACGTCTACGGCAATCCACTGTATTCCAACCTCTACAATCATCCACTCTACAGTCCCTATGTCTACAATCCTCTAGTTCCTAGGGCTGACGTAAAACCAGTGGAGTACAAGTATACTGGCTACAACACTTATAACCCTCTCTACCACGGTCTTTACTACCCCGGATATTACTACCCACGTTATGGCATCTAAATTCAAGAAGATATAGATGACTAACAAAATGGCGATACTGGTAAAGTTAAGCCTAATGACGCTCTATTAAAAATATATGTCCAAGTTAGCTAAACAAAATTTCAAGTGGGGTATTTTAGATTTAACAAATAAAATGTTAATTGATAATTGACGAGTGTAGTTAATAATTACAAAATATTATCAGATTTGGGTTTTGAAATGTTGAAATGGCTAACTTTATGGCTTTATATTGTTGTACGTCACAGTATATATAGATATAGTAGAAAATAATTTTAAAACGTTAAACCATTGTATTAAAAAATAAGAAACTGGTTTCTTTATTATGGCGTTAGCTAAACTCCCGGGTCTAAAATTTTGAAATTTGTTATTCTGAAACGGATTACTTCACAAATGAAGCGACCAACATAATTAAGTCCAATTTTTTATTGGATTTAATGAAAAAAAAAACACCTTCTTATGCGGTACTATAAGTGTTTAGTTTCCAATTCTTCTACCCCCCCCCCCAGTGGCACAGCGGTATGTCTGCGGATCTACGACGCAAAAATCAAGGTTTCGAAACCCTTGGTGGGCAGAGCCCAGATAGCCCATTGTATAACTTTGTGCTTAATTACAGACAATCAAACAAACCATTTCTTCTTTACTATTGGTTTCACAAAGATTGTTAAGGCATTCGTAAATGATTTTAAATGTACATCATAGGCAATAATTATAAAATAAATACGATAATAAAGACGTTTAATTATTATTTTAGGAGGTTAAAGAAGTTCTTGAAAAAGTATTTTATGAAAATCACGAAAAACATGTTTTTCTTCAGAAGTATTTCAACATTACAAAGAAATTACTTATAATTTTCAATTTATTTTGCCCCCAATGGCACAGCGGTATGTCTGCGGACTTACAACGCTAGAAACCGGGTTTCGATACCCGTGGTGACCAGAGCACAGATAGCCCATTGTGTAGCTTTGTGCATAACTACAAATAAACAATTTATAGTATTCTATTCGACAAATACAAATAGTTCAATAGCTGTCACCAGGGTAATTCATCTGATATTTTCAATAGGAATAAAATTGTTACGTTATCTGAAGTCAGTTTTCCTTTTTTCAAATTCTAATAATTTTATAGGATATAGAATTAAGTAATGTTTTAAAGAGTTATTCTATTTTAAGTTGATCTATATCAAATATGTTTTGTTTCTACAGACCAACAAGTATTGATCCCGATTTGTAGACTTCGACATGGCAATGACTAGAGGACCTTTTCTCTCTTCATACCCGGGTGTTTTCATTATTCTTGTTTTCATGTTGTGTATTTCATGTTTGATTTCTCATTTTCAATAAAACAAAATGAATAAGCATATATATATATGTGTGTGTGTGTGTCTCGTGAATAACTTGGCTCATAACACCACCCATAGGCAACTGTTATTAATAGCTTAAAAGTTTGAAGGTAACTAAAAATACTTTTACTGACAAGTATCGCTAACTTTTACTTTTTCATTTTTACTTTAACAGTTTTCTATAATAATTTACTTACCTCAAACTTTCAGTACAATCAGTTCTGTAGACAACAAAATAATTCCTTTTAGTATGTTTTCTCTGCATAGCAAACGATGTCTTCAGCGAAAACTTCTTTACAGAGTTGTCGTTTGTTTGTTGTTGTTGTTGTTTTTGCAAAGCAACACACTGGGCTGTTTCACGCTTAAATTTTAAAGCAATTTTTTTCTGAAGTTAAAAACAGGTTGATAGTTAAACCAAAACATGTTTTCAAGGGTAGAGTCTGATGCTTCATGAGCGATCACTTTGTTGACATGAAAATAACCGTTTTACACAGCCTTAACTCCTACTTAAGATGAAAACCACTCAAGTTTCCTTCTTGTACCATGAAAAACATTGAAGTTCAAATCAGATTATAAACTCTTTTTTTTACTTGTTTTTATTTAATTGAAAGCACTGCATTATCGTTCGTATTCTAGCAAAAAGTGCTTCATTACTATTGATAGAATGGAAGAATACTGCCTTTTAACTTAATAATCCGTGTTCAGAAGTTCTGCCTTCAAATCATACTATAACAAGATGTTTAAGGAAGTATATCCATTCTAGCCACAATCTTGGTCTCTTTGAACGCGAAATTAGTTTTATTCTACCAAACGGTCGGTAATTTGGTCCCGCGCAAACACTATTAATTGTGTTTCAGTTCTTACATATTATTTAATTTATGCGCTACTTAAGTGGTAACACTGACAACACCAAGAGACCTGCATTACTGGGGTATTTGGAGTTAATACTAACTACAGTATGTAAAGTATAATTAAAATGAAGCTTTTATAAGGAAATTATATTCTGGTAAGCATCCCATAGAATGATTTCGGCGAGAGAAAAAGAATAAAATAAAATAAATACTCGCATTTATTAGCAAAGAGTTACTCTATGAATAGATAAAGCACTTAAACGTTACCAATTTATGATTATTGTTGTTTAAATCAAATCTAAAACTCTAAAATATTTGTATAATCTATCATACTATATATATATTACTTGAAGAACGAAAGTATGAAATGTTATAGTTAGTTTAGTTATTTAAAAAATCATTTGTAATGTTTCGGTTCTGTTAATGCCGACCAAGTACCTTGCTAAGGTATTAAATATTAATATTTTCTTCAAAATAAATGAAAGGTTAATAAACGTAAAAATTATGTTCTGGTAACAAAAGATATAAGTATTGATTAAGTCCATAAAAACCAGTCAGAATTATGCCCTTAAATAACACTATTAAAATCATATTAATTTAATGGAAAATTCAGGATACTACTCTATACACTAGTGCCACCAAGTTTGATCTCAGAACAAGATTTTATATTGCTGGAAATTTTTGTCAAAGGCTTTTTCCATTCGAAAATTAATTTTCAGATCATATTATTCAAATTTAGAGCAAAAAATGTAATGTGCAAAATTCTTAACATCTTTGCATAAGTTTGCTCGGTCACTGAAAATCTGTGTTTCACAAGATTGATTAAAGTCAGTTCACGTGTTGAATGTTTACTTAATGAGATTCATAAGCAAAAGTACCTTAACCTGATTTAATAATAAATATCTCTTTGTTCTATCATTTAAAATCTCTTCCATTTTGGAGACTTAATCAAATCTGTTTAATATGACGATAATTGTACTTTTATCTGGCCGGATAACAACAACGTTTCGGTTACTGGAAAGTTCTTTTAAGGCAGAAAACTCAACCTGTGTAATAGGAGAAGAGTATTTTACTATGATTTTACTTCCCGAAGGAGAAAAACTTCAACTGGGAAGTGGTTCATGAGTGGAAGACAATTATTGGAGATTTTTTGTTAAAGGAAGGATTACTTCTAGATCAAAATGTCAAATAGAACAGCCAACTCTGAAAGAAACGGCATCAATAACATTGTTTCGTCTAATACAAACAGAGCAAAAACAAAAAGAAAACTTTATGAGTATTATAAACTTCATGATCTAAGATACATTAATACTAGAAACGAAAATTATCATATAATATTGTTACTTATGCCATAGACAATTTCTATAATATTGTTACTTATGCCATAGACAATGTCTGTAATATTGTTACTTGTGTCATAGACAATTTCTGAGTAATACCAATGATATTCTATTGCATCAACATCAGCCTTAAAAGTACGTTTTTCTTATGTTTTGTGGAATAACTTATTTTTCTCGTGACCAGTTTTATAGTTTGAGCATTTTTATAGAATGTTAGATTAGTGAATGCCTTTTTCAAATATGGAATAAAATGATAAGAAAAGATAACTTACTGGTTTTGTTTCGATAGTAAAATACCATCTTTGAACTCAGGGGGGATATTTTTTTATGATTTAAAATATTTTGTACTTCAATTTTTAAACCGTCTAATGACAATAAGAACTAAAAATAATACAAAATTAATTGGCAAAATTTTAGTTTTATAAGCAATATTTCCATTTCTTAAACGTCAAGGGCTCGGTGGTTAGTGTGCACGAACTGTGGATCCAAAGGTTTGTTCATGGTTCGTGTCCTATTCCTGCACAAATATTCTCCACACTTTAGGTTCGTGGGTGCGCTATATGAAGGGCGATCATAGCCCACTTTTCGTCAGACAAGTGTAGCTCAAGAGTTGGCGGTGGGTATTGTTGACTTGTTACCTTCTTTAAAGTCTATCAGCTCAAATTTCGATACGGCTGTGCGTGTTTGTTCGTTTGTTGTTGTTATTGCGCAAAGTTACATAATAGACTATTTGTGTTCTATTCATTTTGGGGGAACTGACCCTCGTATTTTGGCGTTGTAAACCCACAAACTTACCGCTGACCTATCGGGGACATCTTTGTATGAAAATTGTTAAAAAAAACGTAAACTAACATTTCATGAATGGAAAATAACTTCGAAAACCACGTGGATAATTTAATATTTTATCAATTAAAAATTTTAAAATCAAATTTAATCTATAAGTTCCCACACAAAAAAAGTGTATTTCAAAATATCTAATACAATTATATAAAATTATATTAATTTCTTTAAATATTCATAATCCGAATTAACACGATATTTCTATAAAGTACAACACATATTTTCGCTATCCTATTCGGATTACAAGTACACATACTTGCAACAATATACAACAAATAAGGAATCTGAATATTGTATTTTAATTGAAGTGTGAAGTTTTCTGCTATAAGAATTAATATGGGTAATCTCAGCTTGTCTGATCCTGTTAACACCAAGTACAAGCTTTCCCTCAGTTCGAATGTGTTTGTAACGATTTATTAGTTAGTTATTAAAAGTAAAACAATACCAGTGATTCATTTATACTAGCGTTTAATTTTCTTAGATAATCTGTAACATTTACAGCATTGCACTTTGTATTATAGATGTGTAAAGGAGAAATAATTCAAGAAGTGAAAAATAAATATATATATATATATCAAGAGCGAATTTGTTCGACAACAAGGTTATGTAAAGTAGTTTTGAAAACACAGAACTAGTTGAACCTTAGACAACGTTCTATACAATGATAGAGTTTTTAAGTATATTAAACTCATGCATGTTAAACATAAACCTTAATATCATGCAAAAAAAATATTAATGGGTAAACGACGAGAATTGTTAAAAATTACAAAATATATCCGGGTTTAGGTTTTGAAAGATGGTTAATTTTCTGGTTTCGGTTTTATGTTGTCGCATTTCATAATATATAAAGCAGCAGTGAAAAATCACTTTAAAGTCTTAGAATATTATGTAAAAAAAACACAAAACAAAAAACGAAAGACTTCTTCGCTTATTTCGAATTCTTTAAGTCCTCCGCCTTTTATATTCCAACGTGGATGAACTAATACACTATTTTAATTCTTTTGGTCTCAGCACTTCTATATTTGTTGCATAAAATAACCTTCATGAGCAAGAAAACTACACGTAAATATTCTATACACGTATTTATATCTTTATGTTTCAGGGTTTTATATTCTTACATAAAAAAGCATGCCACATTTTAAGTATAAATAATCTCTTATGAAGGCATTACGTTATGTCACAAACCTTCTTGTTTCGCATTGACCCACGACCATTCTTTTTATCCATACCTTGAGGTAAAACGGCGACAAGGTAGAGAATATCAAATAGTTTTGGATTTGAAAATGTTTCATTATATTACGGTAACCTTGACATTAACCTTATCATAAAATGAAGATCTTATAGATGAGCTCATGGGCTGGTTATCGTTTTAGGGACATGGTTACTAGGGGACTTGCTATTGGATGAATAAGTTAGAAGTTATCCAAAAGCGACCAATGAACGTGAAATATTTTGTATAATTTTTTAAGATGATATTTTTTTTCTGATTAAGATGGTATAAAAGCAATGCTGTGAGCTGTATTCTTCACCAGTTGTTGAACAGCTAGTCATTGTCATTTAATTTTAATAGCATCAAGTTGAAATTTTCATTGACATCATGCAGAAACTGGTAAGTTAATAAATCAGTGGCGTAAGAAGTGGGGGGGGGCGCTACCACACTTCTCAAAATGCATCAAAATTAGTAAAATTACTCTCAGGAAAAGCAGAATAATGCACAAAATTTAATCCAGGACCCAATAATTTCCGGAGATCGCCTTAGGGCCGAAATTGGGTGCACTTGTGGCGCAAATTCCTTCGCTCGGTCAAATAAACCTTAGACCCTCCATTTTTAACTTGCCTCCTACAACCCTGTAGATAATCTTATCTTGAAAATCTTGTTCGTGTTTAATTTATATATCGTATGTACTGGAGTAAATACTCGGGTTCTAAACGTATTTAAAACCTATCAAGTACTGATT